CTTTCTATCATTAAAATTACCAGTATAAAAAATTGTTAGTTTTGAACAAGGATTATAAATATTAAAATTATAATTAACATAATTAATATAAAAATAAATTATATTAATATAATTAATATATTTAATGCATAATTTTTTTAAAAAAATATCAAGACAAGATGAAATATCTCGAGAGCAATCTCATGTTTTATCTCATCCCATTTTAAATCCTTTTTCATCCCATCTCACATGATCCTGTTCTTTTTGTTTTTTTATAAAAAAACCTGTCTTAATATACCCAGAATAACGCTAGGTCGATTAGAACGGATACAAAATTAAACACCTCTAATTTGGGGGTTCCTTCATTAACCTCGGTTCGTACGTACAGAGCTAGTTTCTTTGGTCCTAAGCATTGAAAATATTCAAACCATGCGACTGGGAAGTTGTCGGTCCGGATCCTCTCCTCATCCTCTTTCTCCTTTTCCTCTCCTCGTCTCGTATCCACCCTTAAATAATAAAATCAATGGCTCAGATTTAATTATTTTTTATCAACAGATTTAATTATTTTTTATCTTATAAGAAATAAATAAATTTAAACTGTTAAAATTTAGCCTACACAGTTCTTAAATGTATATCATTTATTAAAAAATTTTATTTATATATTTTATTGTATTAATAAATTGTCTAGTTAAATTTTAATAATTTAATTGGTTAAGGGAGTTCAATCAATTTATCCTGTAATATCAAATTTAAGTTTAAAAATATATAATTACGTTAGATAAATATAATAAAAATATCTTTAAAACACTAATGAGATTGGGTATAATTCTTACAAAGCTAGTGGGAGTCTAAATTGATCTAAGTGGAAATAGTGAAGAGTTGGCCAAAAAGAAAAAAAGAAAAATAGTGAGGAGAGAAAAAAAAAAAAAAAAATCTCGCCGCGGAGGGACGCGCAGAAAACGCGCTGCGGAGGGGATCTGCTTCCGGAAGTTATCTATCTTGTACATGACAATGATTGATTCCTTTCAAGTGCAACAAATTAATTAATCCTTACTCCTTTGATTTAAAAATATAAAATATTTTTAATTAAATTTTATTTTAATAAATAGTTAATTATTTATAAATTAATAGTACTGTCTTTTCATATTTACTCTATTTAGTGAAGTATTTTACTTTAAAATAAATATAAAGTGATTTATTTATTATGAGTATCTTTTAAAAAAATTAATTGCATCATAAAATAAAAAGCTAAAAATTCTTTACATTTTTAAACATTTAATTTTTTTTAAAAAAATATGCCGTACATATTTTTTAGTTGAAAGAGTATATATTGGTATCCAGAGTGAAAATGTAATAATAATTTGGTTTTTTTTACCATAATAATTAAGTTTTTTTTATACTATTGAATTTTATGTCAGCGACATTATTATATCGTCTGAGATATCTGTTATATGTAAAGTTTTTTTTTTCCAGAACTGTTATATATAAAGTTGAAAGCAAGAATAATATTGCAGTAGAATATCAAATACATAAAGCATGGCAAATATTGATCAGATCTGTTATGTATGGTTTCACAGGCTTTCTTAAGCCAATGTAAAGGTGAAAATAGCGTAGGTTAGGCTAAGCCGTGTAACACAAACCTCTAGCCTATGTCTAGGACTATGCTTTGTGTGTGTGTGTTTTAAAACTCAAGCCTGAATTTGCAATAGGCCTAATTTGACCTAAAGTCTTTTTAAAAACATACTTGATATTTACATTTTAAAAAAAGTTTTTAAATTTATCTTTCAAAGTTTTTAAATAGGTTTTAAGTCTATCAAATCGTACATTTTTATGTAGACTTCAAAACCTATATATTTCATATTTTAAATAGGCTTCAGGACTTAAAATCTATTTAAATAAAATATCATATATATATATATATATAATATATAAATATACTTAAACAGGCCAGGCTTGTGAGTTTATAAGCCAAGACTTTAAAAATCAGGCACAGCTTGTTTAGTTATATAAGCCTTTAAATAAGTTTTAGATTTGATTTATTTATAAACAAGTGAAGTCATAGGTTGCTTGATAGGAACTTGGCCTATTTCTACCCCATAGCTCACGTTTTTTAAACTAGAAAAAGATATATCGTGCATGTATTGAGACAGCAAACTGATCTAAACGATATGACTTTGTCAAAAGCATTTGCTTTGGGTATAATTCAACTTTGACTAAAGTTATCACTTATCGACGTGATCAATTAAAGTCATCACTATATTTCCCTTCCTCATTTTATCAGGCTAAATAATATATTCTGCCAATTCAAGTGAACTTTAATATAATACATTCAAAATGACACTTAAACCCCACTGAAATAATCTAATAACATGTAATCCCAAGAGATTTTTCTTTTCTGGCACTAAGTTTAAATGCATAATAGCCATACAATCCCTATTTATCTGGCTATTAATCAGCTCCTTCCCAATAATTCATCAGCCTCTAATGTCGCAGCTCTGGTCGCAGGCACCAGCTAGGTCCGGTGGCGGCTCCAATAAATGGCTGTGGAGGGTATTTCTAGAGGAAATTGTCATGAATTTGATCGGCATATGATAGTCAACTGATCGACCTAAATATATTTCTATCATAACCAGTTGTTACATGTCATGTTGGAGCAATATACGCCTAGTAGCCAATGTGAATTAAAGGAATATCGTTACGGCTCAATGGAATCTTATCATGTTCGCTTTTACTAAATATGTTAGTGTTGATTTTACCATTTCAGAGTAAATTCAAACAAATAGTTCATGAACTTCAATGAAACTACATACAGATTTGTTTATTTAACATATGCAAGACTTTTCAAAGTAATTTCAATAATTTCTTTCAGGAGAACATCTAATTTTCATTTCATTCAAAAAACTACATGTACTTTAAACCTTCGTTTAATTTGGATGAGGAAAAAAAAAAAGGAAGGAAGAAAAACTAGAAGGAAAAACTCCTAAAAATAATTAAAAAAATTCAAGTAAAAAGAAAATTTACTCCTAAACTTATTAGCTCTAAGAGATTTTAGGACCCTAAAATCATTATTTATGAACCCTCTACCGTTAACTTTGACTAATAATTAACTAAAAAAATAATAGAAAAGAACTTCAAAAGTTATAAAAAAATGATCAATAAAATTTTTTTAGTCCTTTTTTATAATATTTTAGGTCATCATCTATAATTTTTTAGTCTTTTACCATAATTTATCATTATTTTTTATAATTTTAAAATTTTTATTATTATTTTTTTATCAACTAACAGTCAAAATTAATTTTATTAATGATAAAGATCATATTTCACCATATGCAAAAGTTGAAGAGGCACATCGTACAAATAATATGTTTAAGGCCCTAGATATTCTTGACCTAATGTTAGGGGACCGGTTTGCTTTTTTTATTCTATTTTTTTTACTATTTTTTTTTTAAATTCCTAGTTTTTCTTCTCCCTATTTTCTTCCTAATCTTTCCTCATCCAAATCAAGCCTAAAAGTTTAAAAAAAAGTGTAATACCTATAATTGATGAATTAAAGAATAAATTAATGTCTTGTAAACAAACAACAGCGTCATTCTTGTAATCTTGTTTTTGCTTTGGATGAAACAATGGGTGTGGCAGCAACGGACAATTATGGAAAGTCCTGCATAAAGAGTTGGCTTTTCTCCCTAGAGGAACGATCACTGTAAATTTCAATTGTTAAATTTAAATTTGTTGATTACATTTTTAAAAATTTAAATTACTGTAAAAAATAGTTAAGAAAAAAATAATTGAAAGAACTCGCTTTTACATACTCATTCATTCCCGTGGTGTGGATACCAAGAAAAAAACAACTCAAAAAAAAAAATCGTAAAAATCTTATCCAATAAGTTTAATAGAAAAAAGAAGGAATAGTAGAGCCACATGCAATCACAACACGAAGCTTAACGCTTAAGCTTCCCAGTTGCGTAGCTTCTCTGATAAGCTCACAGTCACGGAGACGTGTCGTTTGCTGCACAATTATTTATTACAATCGCGCATACGTTTCTCTGTGCTCGTCTCATCTCTACGTATCTCCTACCGCCATTCCTCATCCACTAAAATCATTTCACATATCAAATACCAATTTCAAACTTCGGCTTCAACTCGATGACCGAGCTTCAACGCGTCTAAGCCCTATGTGTCGTTCACAGGTTCACTCCCGGCATCTTTGTTTCATTAGCTGAACTAAGATTAAACAATTGTCAATTATTTAAAAAAAAATTCTGTCATATCAAATCTTATTGGTGATGATTGTTAATCATTGGGTTACATTACTTGGAAGCAATATTATTAATTTATTAATTAATTAATCTGAATACCAGGTATGAAAACTTGAATAATGTAACTTAGTTGTTATTGTCAAGCTAAATAAATGGGAATGTGTGATGGACGCCTATGAGCGTGTGAAGGCAGAGAAATAGAGCCAAAAAAGAAAGATTCCTTGCTTAAAATGAATAATATTACCAAAAAAAACTAAACTAAACAAGAAGTGCGTGGAGAAAGGATAGGTTTACAGTTAACAAAGATTGGTCCGAACAAGAATTTGATTTATAATTCATAAAATTGTGAGATTACATTTCGCTATAAATAAAATGACTTTATTAGTGAATGATTAAAAAAAAAATTTTGAAGCATTTTTTTTGTTTTGAACACAGAAGCATGCCTTAAATCTAATGAGCTCGGAATTCAACTCATATAATATAATCTTTTTTTAACTAAAATGAAAAAGGAAAGAAAGTGTTGAATACATGACTAGCTTGGAATATACACGATTTATGGTTCGGTGCCAAATCTTACATATAAAATTTAACCAACATGTTAACATCCTTCGTCGTTGGTTCGTATGTTATTGTATGTTGTATGTGAATAATAATAACTTGGCTTTTAAGTACTGTGCTTCCCTTTATTTTCAGACGGAAGCTGAAGCTTAACTTCCCTTCTCTCTCTCCCTCTCTATATATACATAAATATCTCAAGAGGTAAAACGTCCCATGAAGAAGCAGAAGAATATCAGGTTGCCTCATGTCCACTCCTTCGTAGGTACCCACCATCCTCGTTTCTTTTTCTTTCATTGTAACTTGGACCTTTTATTCTGGTAGTAATTTTCTTTTAAGTAAAGTTCTAATTTTCACTGAGATGTCATAAGGACGACGCATTGTTGTATGAATAATCAATAATTATTAGAAAAAAATATTACTTTAAATCATACACTTTACTTACATTTTACTTTTTATTCCTGTACTTTTTTTAATATTTTAAGTTCTTATATTTTTATTTTTTAATGTTATAAGCCTCTTTAAGATTCCTACACTTTATTCACGAAGGACTCAAAATATTAAAAAATAAAATTATAACAATTTAAAATATAAAAAAATATAAAAATTAATAGTAAAATGTGAATAAAGTGTTAGTATTTAAAGGTATAATTTTTTTAATTATTAATAATAATAAAGTTAAGGATAGAAAAGTCAAGCCAAGCTTAGTCCGTAGGGGACATTTATTCCGAGAAACAAGCGTATATACGGGGAACAGAACAGAACCAACTTGAACTCCAAGCAATGTTTTTTCATATTTCTAGATCTCGCTTTGTTCCTCTCAAACCCTCTTTCTTTTTATTATCTGTACTTATGCCGCTTGCTCCTTGCACGTTGATTCTGTGATTCTGTCTCAGAAGCTTGCGAAACCACGCAGTTCATCGATCACTTTCAATCATTGAATCATCCACAAGAATCCCAGAGAAGCAGATAAAAGCAAAAAGATTGAAGCCTCTCTCTCTCTCTTTCTGGTATAGAACTGGTTGATGATGCAGGGATCCAAAAACGTGTTCGCTAAACATACAAGCTCAGCGGCTAGCTAGCTTTACTCTTTTTAATATTCTTTCCTTTTCGCTTTTTTCATGTATTAGGAAGCTTGCTGGTACGGTGATATTTATCAGAAGGAGGGAAAAAAAAAAAAAAGCTGCGCTTATTAATTACACAGACATATTAGCATCTAGCAGGAACCAGAGAGATGACATGGCGTAACGAGTCTAAAGATGAGGATGGGCTTCGATTAGCCAATCCTAAACCCTCCGAGACTCGAATCATAACTTGCCCTTCATGCGGTCACACCCTAGAATTTCAAGATCAGGTACTTAATTATTCTGATTAAGATGTTGCTTGTGTGTGTATTTGGAGATTAATGAATGAATTAAGATTGGTTAATTTGTTGGTGTGAATAATAACAAGGGTGGCATTCACGAGTTGCCGGGGCTGCCATCTGGAGTGAAGTTTGACCCGAATGAGCAGGAGATATTAGAACACTTGGAAGCAAAAGTTGAGTGTGATGTTCGTAAGCTTCATCCTCTCATCGACCAGTTCATTCCCACTCTTGAAGGCGAGAATGGCATCTGTTATACCCACCCAGAAAAGCTACCGGGTATGTGTATCTATATAATTTACACACACACACACACACACACTCCAAATTCTATATTCTATTCTTCAATTCTCGCTTGTTATTGTTTCCTTTTGTCTAGAAACACCGTAGGCTAGTATTATAAGTCTCACGTTAGTGAGCCTTAACGAGAAAAGTAAGGTTCACAATAAGCTAAATTTTAGAATGGGCTTTTTCTTTAAACTTATGTTATAAGTCGTAATAGCCATGCTCATCATTTTCTTTTTGGGTGTCTAATTGATTGAGAAGCATGGGTCGTTGAGCCTGATTTTGCTGCATGAATTTAGGCGTCTGGCAAGAAATGGAAATTATTAATTTATTAAATAATAATCATGGCAGGCTGAAAATAATAATGAATTAAATTTTATCCACATATCATGCCTGGATGATGGCTTCGAATTGATTCATTGTATATTCTTAATCATGAAGATATAATGATAATATTTTGGATAAAAAGAAATTAATATTAATACTATATATGCCAAAGCATTTGAAAATGAAATAAAAAGGATTTGTAGCCTAGTATATGATACCATGTGCATGCCTTTACTATTCATCCGAGTTGGCAATATATAACTATCAAACACTATGGCAAGTAAGATGTTAACGTTAACATCTTACTTATTACAAAACAAATTAAGTTCATATATGGCTAAAAATTCAACAGAAGTTTAAACAGCTTGCCAAAACAATAGATGACTAGAATACATTTTTGCTCTTATGATAGTATATGTTGAATGAATTCCTACCCCAAACACAGCATAAAATGGAGTTTGCTGAATTCTTTAGTCCGGACAAGGTTTTAACTTCTTGTGGATAATATCAATATTATATTATGTAAAATAAGGTGTTTTAGTTTAAAAAAATATTTTGTTTATTAATTTGCATAGCCAACTTCGTTATGTGGTTTATGCCAATCCATATCTTAATCCACAAGCTATAAAGACAGATATAAATGTGTGTGTGTGTGTGTGTGTGTGTGTGTGTGAACAGATATAAAAACAATGTTTCATTTTCCATATTTAGAAGGATATCATACAAATTAGATGCATTTTATATATAAGACTCTATGAATACACACACACACACACATGACAATATATACATATAGTCACTTGACAAGAAGCAAACTATTTGTTGCATTTGTTTATAAATTGTCTGAGCATATAGATATAATACTGGAGATAGCTATCTACGATGCTTGCAAATTGCACTGTATATGGAAAAATATATATTGCTTGGATTAGTCACTAAAATTGGATATCAATTAAACATGCACTTATTACTCAGATATCTTCTGTTCTTGATTTCTTTTTTGAAATAGAGTATGTTGTTTCCACTCAACAATATAATTAGGCGTTTATGTCAAACTATTTATTGGATCAAGTATATTGCCTATCTATTGCATCAAAGTCAATAAATCAAGCTAGGGACTTGTTTTGTCGTCTCGAGTTAAAATCATTAATAAAAAAGAAATGATTAATCTGAACAAATAGTCATGTCATAATATAACAACAAAAACACAACACGACACACGCACAGACATTATTTTTCGACAACTCATCATTTCATATAATTAATTGATTGTTGAAAAAAGCACTGAGAAAGTTGGCGTAACTATATATATACATACGTGATTGATGGGGAACGCTAATTATTACTCTTGATGAAACAATGCAGGAGTAAGCAAAGATGGGCAGATTCGGCACTTCTTCCACAGGCCATCAAAAGCATACACAACAGGGACAAGGAAAAGAAGAAAGGTTCACTCAGACGAAGAAGGAAGCGAGACAAGATGGCACAAAACTGGCAAAACCAGACCAGTCTTGGTTAATGGTGCACTCAAGGGTTTCAAGAAGATACTTGTGCTTTACACCAACTATGGCAGAAAAAGAAAACCCGAGAAGACCAGCTGGGTGATGCATCAGTACCACCTCGGAACCAACGAAGAAGAGAAAGAAGGACAACTCGTGGTCTCCAAGGTTTTCTACCAGACCCAACCTAGACAATGCGGTTCTTCCATTGTTAATCATAACATCATTAAGGATCCTAATAGCTATGAGAAAGCATCCAACGACCAAACGGGGATTAATAATGATCGTGACACGTGCACTGCAATATTGTCCAATAAGAATGGATCATCTGGTGTTTTAGAGTACTACAGTTCTCCTTACATGAGTTATGACCACGTGGTGTTGGGTCATAATAACGTTAGAGAAAGTTCACCTCAACTTATTCCAAACTTGGTTCTCCAAGGTGATGCCTCTTCTTTCTTTTCCTTTAGCAATGGATTGAAGCAAACAAAGACATGATACAACATTGCATTATTGGAAGATCAGTCCTGCAGCTAGTGCTAGTACAGAATATAGTATATATAGAACATAGTGGAGATATTCTTCTGAATCATGCATGCACTGCATTATTTTTGTGCGAGAACATAACATATATAAACTCACCAAATTAGTAGTTTCAATAGATCGATTGCATTATCTGTGAAATAGCTTGTTGGAGCGAGTTCTTTAATTATTTAAGGCGAGCCAGAACATACTATGTATCCAAGTTTACTACAGAAGTGATGATATATATATATATATATAGGTTTGACTTGGTTGTTTGTTCTATTTTAGACTAAAGTTTGTCTCATAGAACACATAAAAAAAAATTAATTTTAATCTTATTTATAAGACACTTTACTATTTTCTATATTTATCTCTACTTTCTGCCTTTATTAAATGCTAGAAAAAATTATTAAAAATATTTCTTTTTGTTTTTATTAGGATGTAGAGGTGAAAATTTATTAAATTTTAAAATAAATTTAGGATTTTTCTTACTTTGATTAAATATATTGGAAGTAACTTATAAATAAGATAAGAGGTTATAGTTAGTTTTGGTAAATATATAGAAGATTTACTTTGGTTTTGCATTTTGATTGGATTTATTTCTGATTTTATCAAGTGTACCTGCTTAATTTTTTATTTTAAGAGTTGTTTGTTTTTCCATTTCTAAATCAGACCCGTCAACTAAAATGATTAATGAAACCAATTTTGACATGCAGAGAACTTATTTTGACTTCAAACACACACTTAATTTGTTCAGTCAATTTAGTTTGGTTTAGTTTATTCTTTGATGTACCGAACTAGTTGAAATTGGATATACGAAGATATATCACAAAAATCATATTTTTTTCAGCTTAGGTTCCTATTAAGAATTGATGAAATGGTTAACCTTTTGCAGACAAGGTCTACCACTCTACCACTTTTTTTTTTATTGGTTATTGAGTGACTGTTTATGCTCATGGGTTAATGGGACAAGTAACAAATTGAGATATCTAGAGCTAGGAATATTGGAATATTGATGAAGTTAAGATTAAATTAAAGCAGATATAATCGTGAGCAAGAAGGACGACAGTATCTGCTTGATATGAATGTATGTATCACAATGTAGCATATATTAGCATTGTTTTGCAACACTATTACTTTTTATAATGATTATTTTAAACTTTTTACAATAAAGGATCATAGTGAAAAAGTGACTTTTCATGTCAAGTTTTTAAAATATTTCACATCAGTTATTTCAAAAACTGAAGTTGTAAGTGTGTATACAATTTAAAAAAATTATTTATTTTTCTCTACATCTAGAACTTATGCATGTAAACTTGGATAGTATATATAGCAAGTGAAAATAGCCGGCTGGCTAACAAATCAATGATTATGCACTAAGTTAAAATTATGTTAAATATATATTTCTAAAATAAACTATGAAAAATATTTCTCCATTGTAACTACTATAAATATAAATTTTTTAAAATTAGTTTTGATAAAATTGAAAATATTTGGATGATTTTTTAAAATCAACTATAAATGTGTAAACCACAATAAAGGCCATTCTCTTTTACACTGTAATATTGATAAATAAATAAATCTATGTGATAAAATAAGGGTTAAGGTTCAATATCTACCCTTGAACTTTTTTTTTATAAGTGCTAGGCACTTGTACTGATAAGTAAAATAATTTTTTTTGAACTTTTTTTTAGGAGCAAAAAATGTGATGTTTGGAATTTCAAATATTAAAACAAGTATTAAAGGCCCTTAATGTACTTTAAATCAAAGCAAAGATCAATTAGGAAGCATGGAGAACATTTAAAATAGCAAACAATTTAAAACAAAGTCAAAACGAGTAAATTATGTCAAAACAATGCAATCCAAGGAGCATTTACTACAGCCAATGACAATGTCCATCATGACTGGCATTCACTATATCATGTGTCATGGCTAACCAAGCCTTTCACCATGGCGCACATGCTGTGAAAACAAAATTGTTATAACAGCATTCTCGATTCTAATTTTTGATGTGTGTGTAACTTCTACTCAAATTTTAAATTAAGGTGATTCAAGTGTTCAAACATAAATAATTAACAAATCTAGCTAATAGATCTAGACTCACCACTATCTAGTAACATATATGTGAGAATTTTGAACACTTCAAATTATAAACATGCAAACCATACTCTCTGCATCAACCAAGTGTCCTAAAAGTCAAATCTTAAGCCATTAGCCTATCACAACCGATCAACCATACTCAAAATACATAGATAAACATGCCTAAGCATGATATGCATCAAATTCGTTAAACATTTAAACTCCACGTCCCCGAAAACATCATCAAATATTAGGTAGAAGCAATGATATTTAAAGGCAATACTTCACAATTAATCACTTACACCATTGGCCCAACACCTTTGTACGAATACCCAAAAATGTCTGTCGGCAAACTAAGCTACAAGCAAGTGATATAATAGTTTAACATAAGAAAACCTCTAAGGTTGGCAATATAGGATTCAAATTGCACATTAATTGTCTAGGGACTTTATAATGTGAGTTATACGTCTCTAGCTTCAAATACTTCCTCCTCGCCCTTGCGATGTAAAGTAACAGAAGTGAGATATAAAATCTCAACAAATGTGTAAACATGGGGAAGGACATTAAACGATCAAAAGATTAAATTAAGCTTCAATAAGGATCAAACGATTTGAAATTCAAAGTAAGGACTAAATTTTTTTAAATAAATTAGTGTAAAAGTTTTCTATTTCATTTCATGATTTGCAACCATTAAAATAATAACTTATAATTTAAATGTGCTAATTTATTATTAAAAAAAACTTGTCAAGCAAATATGTCTTTGAACCCGACATGCATAGGATCTAATTATATTTGTTATGGAGCTATTAATTCTGAACATCTGGATGACGTGCTTTAAATTAAGAGATGAATATTATTTTTTGTGATAATTCGTTTTCTTAATCCTAGTAAATCGATGGTATGCATAAATCATTAAATGTCATGTAATGAGGATGTTTTGTGAGGAGTTAGGACCAATGATTAAAACACTAGACCAGACTGGACGGTTAGATCAATCCGGATTTCAACTCAATTAGCACGTAAAAACTAATTTAAGAATTGAGTCAGCTTGGGCTATTTTGAATTGGCAGTCCGACCGAGGAACCGGATTTGATTTTTAAAAACTAGACCATCCAAAAAAAATTATTTTTTATCAAATTTAAAAAAAAAGACTAATTTTTTCATTATTTGATGTTATATTATATCATATGACTTATTGAGTCATAATAAATTTAAAATATTTAGTTGTATTTTTAAATTAAGTAATAATTTTATATTTGTTTTTTGTATTTAAATTATTATATATATATATATAATTTTTTTATTTAATTATTATATTATTGATCCAATTTGAATCGTGAGAATTATAAATTACAGACTTTTTTAATTTAATATTCAGTTTGGTTTTGAAAATGTTGGTGAGGACTGAGGAACGGTCCAAGTTGCGGCGCAACAAACGGCAGGACTGCTTCACTAGAGGCTGTATACGTGGCACGACGACACAGAGACTGCAAGAATTCCTTATCCAAATGGAACTGCTGGTTTTGATTTTTATCCAAATCTTTAACGGGCTATAGGCCCAATTAAATTTATAAACTACGCTATAGTACTTTCAGGCTTTAGCCCAAAATCTAAGAAACCCAGCCTTTTTTCAAGCTGATTACTTCCTATTCAAACCAAGTGCTCTTTGCCAACTTACTATACTACGTTGCTTTGAGCTCCTCAATGGACTAATATGGCCCAATTAAACTCGCGCGCGCGCGTTTTGTTCCCCTTCCATTCATTATTATAAGATAATTTTTCTGAAATATCGCTATAGCCAATAAATATTACTAACTCCGATAAAGTGCCAACCTTATGGCCGAGAAAATGAACCGACCTAACCCAACCTCACTGGACTGAACTTGAACGCTATATTTTGACTCCAATTCTATTTTAATACTTCTTTTTACCCAAAAAAAAATACTTTTTTTAATTTTTGAAACTTATATTAACGTCTCCTAATATAAATAATTACTAAATGCAAAATTCGATTTCTATCCACTCAACTATTATTTGATTATTAAGTTATATATATTGAACTAAAATACATCTTCTTTAAAAATCATTCAAATTACTAAAAAAGAAAAAATTAAAACGCATATTTTTCTCATTTTATTTATATTTTGAATTTTTAGTTATATAAACACATTTATTTAGTATCATTTTGTAAAATTTAAATACATAAATTGGTTAAATTAATATTTCAAACATGAAACTTCAAAAACTTAATGAAATAAGGATTTAATATAATAAATTACTCAATATAATTTATATTTACTTTTAAAAATATTAATTTTAACAAAATTTTAAATTATTTATTTAAATATCAACATACTTAATTATTTAAATTTTTTTTAAATTGAGGAAGAGTAGACAATTAAATTATGAGGACAAAATAAGAATTTTAAAGTTTTCAACATAATTACATAATTTTAAAATTTTTTTTTGGGGAGTAATGAATGGAGGCCCATGGCCTACAATGAAAAAAAAGACTAACTAAAAATTGGCCCAAACGGAAACAAAACAAAACAAACAAAAGAAATGTTGTCTTTGACTTCTCCTTGTCCAGCAAAAACGTCCATATAATTAAGAACCTTTAACAAAATATTCCTGAAATGTTAATAATTGAATTAAAGTGTAGGTATTGAAAACAGAAAGAAAATTTCTGTAAGTTTAACAAAATGGAAAGGACATAATTGTCTTTTTTCTCATTTATTTAATACCAAGCCAAACATAAGGAGTCTCAACCCATAAACCATTTGGATACACACACACACACACACACAGCGTACCCTACTTGTCTTGCTCATTTTTATGAAATCCATTTGAGTTTATCTCACATCTTCTCCAAATTCCTTCAACCAGACGCACTCCAAGACATTCAGTTGAGTTTATGGATCTTAAAGTTTAATCACTATATTGTACCCCATATATGTTAATTCCAAGTATAGTTCTTGAAATAAAACGTAGATTTGTTGAGCTTTGTGTAGAAGATAAAAATTGTGAATAACGTACCGTTTCTCTCACTCCAGTGTACCCAAACTTGACAAGACATGCATCCATGGGAATGTTTGGAGTGAATTAATTATTTAGCTTCCCGGGCCACAGTGATGAATTGACAATTGCAGAAAGCAATTTTGATACTTGGAACCACATCAAAAAGAGGCTCTATCATTTTAACTGTGTGACTCAGGATCCTTGAATAGGACCAAACTAATGTCTCTACTCCATTTTCCTTGTCCCCAAATTAAATCTTTCATGGAGCATTATTGTGGACATATTATTTGATAGCGATCTTCACATTTGGTTATCACTCAATGAAGCAAACTCCTTCTCAAGTTGCTTGCTCCACCAAGTGTATGATTGGATTTGCTTCAACTAGAACCACATGTTCCTTCATTTCTTTCAGCATGTGTTTAAGCTTTTTTTTTTTTTTTTGAAAAAACGTGATTATATATATATATATATATACCTCTCGTTAATATTTGAATTCTTGAGTTCTTTAAGTGACCTTACAATTTGACTAAATCATGTGACTATAGGGGCAGGGAATTAACTACATTCACCAACTGTACTGTTATGCTAGACAGATGGATCCATCTAATTTGCTGAATTTATATAAGTCAATAAATGATAAAGTTTTAACCGGCGGGGAAAAAAAATAAAAGTTTGATTCCGTTAGGAGAATGTTTTACCCTATATTTTCAAATCATATTATATAATCAAAGTGATTATTAAACAACCCAATCATTGAATCAACCTTTAAAAATTGTGAGCCAAAATCACCTAGAACTAGTTTGGGCGCGGTAATTAAGGTTGAGGGGGATGATCATCAAAGGGTTCAAATATTCTCGAAGTAATTATTTTTAAAAAAATCTGGGCTAAAAATATTGACCATTAAAAATTCAAAGTTTATATAGTTGCATGCATCTTCCTTTACATCTAAGATGTTTGGTACGTGAGAATGGAAGGAAAAAATCAGGAAAAGGGAAGAGACTTGTTTGGACGATATTTTTAAACTTGTTTCATTAGAAACAATTTGGTTTCAAAAGATTCTTCATCGTGTAACCAAATTAAAAAAAAAATAGATTCTACCGCGTGGTAAAAGAAGAAAATCATCCCTATAATTTATACAAACTCACCTGCCGGATCTGAAGATAAAAGGAATTTCCAAACATGGTCAACGCCCAGCATCAATTACAATTAATCATAGGAATTATGAGATCAGCATATCAATGTTACCTAATTCAATTCCCCTGAACTTTGTTAAGGGTATAAACTTTATGGGTAAAATAATCATGTTAAAAAGAATATATTAAATTAATTAAGCCTGATGATAGTCAAATCTAACTTGATCAGTGTATTAGATACAAAAAATGGACACGATGTATCTGGAATAGCCTTGCATAATTCTCAATTCAGTGGAATCAATATTAATGTACAAAAGCTATCTAATATCCAAAACCTAGTTTCCAAAGATTCGGGAAACAAAAATTCAAACAAGATCTCTCCACAAAACTAGAATTTTAAGAACATCAACCAAGAGAGATTTATACATGAGATCACAACAACATACCCAATCAGAACGGAAACAGAAACATGGACACGTGTATATACGTATCTATGTATCTGTATCCAGTCATCACCATACTCACAAGTCAAAGTACTCGTGATCAGAGCCACAAGGCCCCAGCATCCTTGAGGATCGGAACCAATTCGCCTGAAATATGTGTCGACATCACTCTCTCCAACCCTCCGAACAACTTCCCTCCGACGAACACTGCAGGGAACTGCACTCCGCCGCCACTGCCGCCGCCGTCTCCGTGTCCAATCTTCCTGGACAGCTCGGCGGCCACGGCAGCCTCGTCTTCGTCGGCTACCTCGTGCACGGGAGGGTTAGCACCGAGACCTTGTAACAGCCTCTGCACTACATGGCACATGCAGCAGCCGCGTCTTCCAATTATTATCACCGCGTTCTCCGTTACCATCGTCACCAAATTTCCTGGATCCACGTCATTGGCCTGTCCGGTGATTCCTCCGGAGAACCCGTCTGGGGTCGCCACCACCGTGGATAGCTCACGTGAGTCACGTGCTTCGGCGTGGAGCCAGGTCCTATATGGAATGGCTTGATGCATTAGAGAGAGAGAGAGAGAGAGTTGAGAAAATGGAGGATTGTGAAGAGAGGGGGGAGATTGGAGGTGAGGGCTGAGGGAGAATTATAAAATGGCGAAGACTCTAACGTCAACGGCAGTTACGCAGTGTGGTACGTCACACCCACTGTGGGTGACGTCATGTAGCGTCACGGACTCCGTCAACAGATTCCAAGAAGCTACGTCGCCCACCCCACCACACCGCACTACCACATCATGCACCCTGACATTTCTTTTCATTCTTCGCACAAATATCTTCTTAAAAAAAAATCTATTTATAAATTATTTTATTAATCTTTTTATCATGCAGAAAAAAAATTTATTATTAAAATATGTACTCCTTTTATTTTTATATATAAAATATTTTTAATTAAATCATATAAATTAATAAAAATTAATTATCTAATTAAAAATGTAACATCATTTTAATTTTATTTTTAATTATTATAAATAAAAAATAAATATTTTTTTAAAATAAATTAATGAGAGTATTTATTTATTTTTTAATTTAATAAAAATATAATAGTTCATTCATTAAAAAATACTAGCAACTTCTTATATTTAAAGATAAAAAAATTTTAAAAGACTTTTTATATATAAGAACAGAGGAAGTATATTTAATAAGAATAAAAGTCTTAACTTATTAAATTTTAAAATAAAAGTATGAAGTTGCGAGGTTTTCTTTAATTCTAATAAAATATGTTTAAAATAATTTATAAATAAAATCAAAAAAAATATTTGAAATTTAGATACATGTATTTCACTATTTGCTATTTTTTTCCTTAACAGTAATAATTAATTCCTCCAGAGCACATTCGATGCTCATCGAGGGTGATGCATGCTTATCACCCCTGAAAGAATCTGGACGGTTTAAATTGGTCAGGGGTGATGAGCACCATGCTCATCACCCCTGATGAACACTGAATGTGCTCCCTTCATTCCTCCTATTTTTAATATAGGATGTATTTAAAAATTATTTTTACTCTAAAATATAAAGAATTGTGTAATTTTTTTAAAAATTTTAATTTTATTCTCACATTATTTATTATTTTTTAAAAAAACAGTCTATTAAAATTTTAAGGATTTAAAATTTTTTAATTATTATGGTATTTAATTACAGAATTTAAAGATATAGTTTAAATATTTTTAATGTATAAGAATTCTAACAAATAAACGTTAACAATTAATAAGTAATGTTTTTATTTTAACAAGTATTTGATCTGGTTAAATTTTTATTAAATATTAAATTATTTTAGAGATTCTTTATTGATATTCTCCAATCATGAATTGTTAAATTTTCTAATATAATTTTAAATTTTAAAAATAAAAAAAATAAAGTGTAGAACATATCATGTTCCATGGTGTGCATTGGCCATGAAAATGTGACGGCATTGAAGAACACTATTCTATTTTTTAATATAAGAAAAACTATCATGTTTTTCTCTGTTTTTATTTATAAATAAAATTACAAGTTTCAAAAGATATTTTTTGCGTTTTTTTTTCTATATCATCATTCATAAATTCAATATTTATTTTCAACAGATAAATTTGTTTTATTAATTAATTACAGAAATAATTTAATTTAATTTTTAAACATAATTATTACACTTAATCAACTCTTTTAAATTGTATGAGGTGATTAGGGAGTATTAGAAGATTGAACTTTTTGTTAAATAAAAAATTATAGGGCAGAGAAAAAAAGAGGATATAAATATATAAATGAAAAATTTGGGGCCAGCCAATGTCAAGTGCCAACCCGGTGAGGAATCGGCACTTGGTAAAGAATAAAGATGATGAGATGCATTAAAATTAAAATAATTGAATGATTATGAATAATAAATGGAGAAGAATAATAAAACTGAGTGCCACACGGCGCCCCAAGCCATTAGGCGTTTCGGAAAACCACAACGCAACACGTCTACGACGACGTCATAAGCCCACATTGGCTAATTCCATTCGGATCGGGGTGAGGGGTTTAATCGGCGCGTCGTTGTCCACGTGGCGACAATTGGCAGGAGAGAACATGGGATGTCTATCCGACATGTCGTTTTCGGCCGAGTAAGCAGCGATCACTTGGTCAGGTGGTGACGTGTCCTAGATTTTTTAAAAACATTTAAAGGAAAAGAAAATAGTATGGTTGGGTCAAGATGAATGGAAGCCTGGAAGGGGTGCGGAATGGAGATGGCCACTTTCGTGGAAGGATGACGCGGCCTTTCCATTTCAATTACTCTTCCTTGGTCCAGCGTCTCACCACGTTTATCTTCACACGGCTTTTCTTTTCTTTCTTTTTTTAAACGAGAAATATATTTAAAACTAATTTTATTTTATTATTTTGAAAACTAATATTTTAGAAAACATATTTTAAAAAAAATAAAAAAAATTATTTTTTATTTCTGAAAAAAATAATCCTATAACATCTAGAATATGTTTTCATTTTTTTATTTTTTAAAATAATATTTTATTTTTTGTTCTTCAAAATATTTTTTGAAAACATGTTAACAAAGAAATTTTTTTATTTTTTTTCTGAAAAATAAAAAATTATTTTCAAAACAGATTGCCAAACAGGCCCATAATATATTAAAATAACTTTTTCGATATACAATTATATGACACTTTCACTATTCTAATTTATAAGGCATTTTTAGATAAAATTATACGTATTAATAAAACTCATTAAATATATTTTACAATCTTTTTTAAATAAAAATTTAAACTTTCAGAAATACCCCCATTTAATACTTGATGTAAAAAGAGATAACATAATGAGAAGGATAATATTTAAAAAAAATATAAGTATTTTCATCCAACCGTCAAATATTAAAAACATTGACTGATAAACTAAAGTTTGATCAAAATATTTTACTATTTTACCCTCCTTCATTTCTGGGTTTTTTGATCATCATTTTCATTCATTGGAGAAAGAAAAATTAAAGAATTCACTAGAAAATAAAATTGAAAACTAAATATATAAGGAAGGAGGGCAAAATATAAAAATATTATCGGTAAAACTTCAATTTAAAGATTGATGTTTTCAATATTTAATGATCTGGCGAAAATACTTTTCTTTTAAAACTTTCAAAGCAAAAATGCTTTAAAAAGTTTTAAAATTTAGATAATCTTTTAAAATCTTTTAAAGTACTCCCTTTATTACTTTTTGTGAGATAAAATTACCTAACTTACAAATACAAATAAAGTATCTTTAATTTATTTATGTTTTTTTTTATCTTTTTATTTATACCCTAATCAATTAATACTTATCAATCATTTTTTTAATTTTACTTCAAGAGGACCAACACCAAGTATTTTTTTATTCATTGACTAAGATATTTTCAAGGGTTAAAAAATAAAAATATTTTGTAACTTATTTTTTTTAGGAGTGCCAACATTTTAAATTTTTTTAAAATATTTTTGCCTTGAAAGTGTCAAAAAAAAAGTATTTTCACCTGACCGTTAAATATTAAAAATATTAACCATTAAATTAAAGTTTGATCAGAATATTTTACTATTTTACCCTCCTTTATTTTTGGGTTTTTTGGTTTTTATTTTCATTCATTAGAGATAGAAAACTTAAAGAATTCACTAGAAGATTAAATTGAAAACTGAATATATAAGGAAGGAGGAAAAAATACAAAAATATCATCAATCAAACTTTAATTTAAAGATTAATGTTTTCAATATTTAACGATTGAGTAACAATACTTTTTTTAAAAAACTTTTAAAATAAAAATGCTTTAAAAAATTTAAAATTTAGATAATTTTTTAAAGTACTCCCTTTATTGTTGGTCAAAAGAAAAAGTACCCCCTCTATTACTTTTCGCGAGATAAAAATACCTAACTTACAAATACAAATAAAGTATCTTTAATTTATTTATGTTTAATTATTTTTTTATTTATCAATCATTTTTTTAATTTTACCTTAAGAGGACCAACACCAAGTATTTTTTTATTCATTGACTAAGATGTTTTTAAGGGTTAACAAATAAAAATATCTTGTAACTTATTTTTTCATGAGCGCTTGGCATTTCAAATTTTTTTTAGAACATTTTTGCATTGAAAGTTTTAAAAAAAAGTATTTTCACCCAACCGTTAAATATTAAAAACATTGATCATTAAATTAAAATTTGATCAGAATATTTTACTATTTTACCCTCCTTCATTTTTGCATTTTTTGGTCTTCATTTTCATTCATTGGAGAAAGAAAAATTAAAGAATTCACTAGAAAATGAAATTAAAAACTGAATATATAAGGAAGGAGGGCAAAATACAAAAATATCATTAGTCAAACTTTAGTTTAAAGATTAATGCTTTTAACATTTAATGATTGGGTGAAAATACTCTTCTTTTAAAACTTTCAAGACAAAAATGCTTTAAAAAAATTTAGAATACCAAGCATCTTTGGAAGAATAAGTTTTTGGATATTTTTGCTCTTTAACTCTATTTTAAAAAATAATATTAATTTCTCCTAAAAGTTGGTAAATTATCTTATGTACATAGTACTATGGGTAGGAACATCATAACTTTCAAAAAAATTTCGAATACATCGCCTTGGGAGATAAATGAACATTTTAACTTAAAATAAAATATTTTTTGAAATAATAAAGAAGTTTTGTTGGGGAAAAAAAATTTCACGTTGGAGTGTCACAACTAATCTTCCTTTCAAGTCAAAGGGAAGTTCATATCAATTTACTCGTAATTTCGTGTGAATCAATTTTTCTCTTTCCAATGTTCCTTTTCAACAGTACTCATTCAAATTACTGAGAGATCATTCAATTATTGAAGCTTCTTCTTCTATCAAAGTCAATGCGAGAGAGCATTCAAGCGAGTAAATTAATTTAAGTAACCTCTAATTAATTTGGGTTTTTTTTTACTCAACCACATTAATATATTAAGCAGAGTTTGATTGTACTTTAAAGTAAGTATTTATGGTTATTTGAGAATGCAACTAAATACGCATAAACTTTAAGTAACTTGTAAATGGTAATTTTGCACCAAAACTTGTAAATGGTAATCCCAGAAAAGATGAAACAGAGTGAAGAATGAGT